TTTCGGCTACGCCAAGCAAACCACCTCTGAAGATGCAAGTCACTCGTGCTTGCGAAACGTCAGGAATAAATTATTTTCCACGACGGGCTGAAAGCCCGAAAAATCGCCGGTTTCAATTCTACATCAAGGAATTTATATTAAATTAAACAACTTCAACTGAAAGGTATCGCAGGAATGTAAATAATCCCACGTATTCCTCACTCGATAACTTAATGAATAACATTGGAATGTATAAAACGTAACGGTTTAGAATCAACATCGAATTTCGATAAATTAAAAACTTTCAAGCAATAGCGTGTTTTCAGTTCAGTTCCACATCAGTTTCAAATATACAGGGTACTCCAGTCTTAAGACTGAAATTTTTGCCATGCCAGTTTCCCTCTAGAATGGCCAAACCAATCACTTCCTGAACATACGTTAATACACCCCGAGAGTCCGCTTTCCTAATAGCGGCGTTAAAATAGACTTGTGTGTTAAAAACGGTTACAAGAACCGTTAAGTGTGTCTCGGGGTGTGTGCTTTCAAAGCTTCAACCGACACACATGTTCCTGTCTAAGCAGAGGCCGCAGTCGGGATGCGGATGCGAAAAAACCCATCGATAAAAGGGGGGGCCCAACAGGAAATGTCGGAAATGCAACATTAAGAATTGATGAAATTTCAAACTATGCAATCATATAGACCAAGTGATTGGCCGGTACAATAACGAGTCTTTCTTTTCCAGCGTATCTGAAGCACCGTAGGTGATTGATCAAAATAGGTTTGGACGACGCAAGACCGATGGCTCTACACGCAGCAGAAGCGCCGATCCGATACTGGCCAGCATCAGAATGGGACCGATTTGCAGCATTTAAAAGTGCACACTCGCATCAGAACTGCTATGAGGACGACAAACTACCAAAAGGTATAACAAAGATTTCCGGACTTTTTTTTAAACAACTTTGGTTTACATATTACAAACAAATTCAACGAGGTCTTTAAAAATCGTGATGCCCTTTTTTAGGGCAAAGCTTATGCTTTGAGCTCAGAAAACGCAACCAATAAAAAAATTATCAATACTATCAAGGATCAAAAATTCTCAATTTATATTTTACAGGGTTATTCACCGTTTGATTTTTAAAAAGTATTATTTTATGAATTGTCCGACGCCTACCGAGCCCACATTTTAAAAATATTTTTGTAATGTACAGGGTGTCCCAAAGGCTCTAAACGTATCAAAGTTGCGTTTTTTTAAATGGAATGTCCTGTATATTATTGGGTTTTTGGATTCGCTGAACAAAATATGTGCCTGTTTTAATAGGGTTTATAATACCTTCTATCTTAAGGTTTTTTAAATAATACGAATTTAATCAA